TATTTATATATTTTTTATGATGTGTATATATATATATATATATATATATATATATATATATATATATATATATATATATATATATATATATATATATATATATATATATATATATATATATATATATATATATTCTTGTTTTCATTAACAAGAGCTTCCGCTAGGCATACTATCAATGCTCCTGTTTCCACAAGATTTCGTTTTTGTTGAGTTTCTGTTGAGTTTCTGTTGATTTCTTTGAGTTGCACCAATTTAAGTTGATGTAGTTTTGTCATGTTTTTATACAAATTAACTTGTCGTTGAAAAAATAAAATTTTCATCAACGATACTCACTTATTTTCCACTGACACCAATGTTATAACTGGCCGGTCTACGACTAGTTCGTTTAATCGTAGTGGAACATAAAGACAATATAACTTCCAAATTATCGACTTACAAAACAAAAGTTAATTAATTAATTAATTAATTAATTAATTAATCACTAATCAACACTATTTAATTTTTGCCAATTTTTGGTTATTGTTGCCAAGCTCTTTTAAATGTTTAAGTTCAATAAAACCACAACGCTCATTATCTAGGACAAATGCAAAACGGTAATATATTCAAATTGGTTATGAAGTGTTCCTATCGCAATAAATGGCATAAGTCGATCTTATTACAGAGTCTATTAATTTGTTAATAAATGAAATCGGCCGTGAATTTTTAATTAGCGTCAAATTCAAAATATTGGAAAAGCATTCAAGTTATTTCAGTATTTCAAATGTTTTTAGAAAAATTAAACTGCTCATAAAATCTGCGTTCATACATGAATTCAAACGACAGGATATTAAACAGAACTTTGCGTGATCATTATATGGTATAATAATCTCGGGTAAAAGTCCGTGACATTTTTGGTGGCAGTGGTGGGATATATTGCCTCGGGTTAATCAGTGGATTCTGATTACCGGGGAATATCCAGTGACAACCAAGTAGTTCAGGGAGTAATTGCTGGTTGAAGTTTTACATCGACGGATTTTTGTCGGTATATTGGTGAATTCCGATTACCGACGGGAATTTTATATCAACATAGACGGCGCTTGGTTGGAGTTTGATATCAAATTATTATGGAAAAAGATATACCAGCAGAGATAAAAAAAAATGTCGACCGAACGGTTGATTAAGAAGATAATCAAGTTCGGAGTAGATGAAACGGAGGCACAATCGATGTCTAGGCAAGAATTAATCGATTGATATATTGCCAACGAACCTTTAGAAACAGAAGAAAATTCAAAAGAAAATACTTTAGAAGAGCATTAGTATCCTATCAAATTTGAGAAATGGAAATTTCTCAGCGAGTTGAAATTGAAGCAGCAAAAATTAAATTTACGAGAAAAAGAGATGGAGAGAAAAAATAAAGAAAACGAAAGAGAATGTAAATTACGAGAAAGGGAGATGGAGAGAAAGGCTAAAGAATTTAAATATCAAATGAAGATAAAGGAAGAAGAACTTGCGATAAGACAGAAAAGCTTTAACCTACAGAATGAACAAGAACGATCGCGGTTGAATAAGAGAGATTCAATGTTAAATCGCATTAAAACATTTAGCGACTCAATGAAAAATGTGATGGGAAAATTGCCACCGGAACCCGGCGAATTACCAAGTTTTTTTGAAAATTTAGAAAACCAATTCGACCAATTTGGTGTTGATGAAGATATAAAAGCCAAGTTACTTCAGCTGTGTCTACATGATAAGGCTAAATCTCTTATATCTCGGTTAACAGTTCAACAACTTAGTAACTATAACACATTGAAGGAATTTTTGCTGAACAAGTTCAAAGTGAGCCCAGTCAGGTTAAGAGAACAATTTTTTAACATCAGAAAATTACCTAATGAAACATACCAGCTCCTATTGTCAAAGTTGAAAAACACATGGATATATTATTTGAAAAGCAGGAATGTTGGAGAAAATTTTGATAGATTATTGAGTTTATTGATGGCTGATAGAATGAAGGAATTACTACCCAGAGGATGTTTAAATGTAGTAAATTTAGAAGTGCAACCTAAAATGGAAGGTCCTGAATGGATGATAAATATTGCACCTAGAGTAACAGTTTGGTTTGCAGTAGTGCTGGACCTGAACGAAAATTTGATCATAACACCAGATGTTGTAAACTTGCGGAAGGAAATAAAAAATTGTTCAGTACTTTCAAAGGAAGACGTTTTAGACACATCGAATGCAATAGGTTTAAACATTAATGCGGAAACGGAAATTAGAACTGATAAACTCGAAAAAGATGAAAACAATCACAACGTAGGCGAAGATTGCGAACGTGAGGTTTGTAGAAATGACTGTTATGATGGCGTTGATAAATATGAATATGGTCTTAGAAAAGTGAATGAATTTGATGAAGATACGCAACGCGAAGACGACAACAACGATGATGATAATTCTAGTAATAGTGTTAGATATAACCATAACATTAGTGTTGTTAGTGTTAGTTGCGATAGATTAACTGATGATATAAGTAATAACGATATTAATTCAAGCCAGAGTATATTAAAAAGAGTCGGAAATGTTGCTGTAACCAACGTTGACGATGATGATGATAACCAATGTCTAGATATAGAACATGTAGTTCGACCGACTGACAACGACGATGAAAAAGAGAGATCGGCAAGCTCCGAAGAATTATCAAAGGAACAATTAAACTGTCCGTCTTTGATCAAATGCTAGTCGTGGGCAAAGGAAGGTAGAAACATTTTTTTTTATCAAAGACAACATCTGGACATCAGGACAAATTGCTGGAACATAAAATAATTCAGTTGTGTCTGCCGGACAGTAGGATCTCAACAGTTTTGGAGATGGGACATGACGCGCCCTTTGCAGGCCATATGGCAGTTAAAAACACAAGGTATCGCATTAAACTCAATTTGTGGTTGCCGGAAATGGATAAAAAAATCAAGAAATATTGTCAGTCGTGTTCGATTTGTCAGTTGCGGGCACCAATCACAATAGCGCACAGGGTTCCTATCCATACCAAGAGATGAAGAATTGCCATTTACACATTTAATAATGGCATACCCATTAAGAACGTTAAAGGCCACAGCCATCTGCGATGCGTTGTTACAAGTATTTATGACATTCTCAGTACCTCGTGTGATTAGTTCGGATCGTGGAACTAATTTAACAAGTTCTATTACTCAGAAATTTTTAAAAAGATTTAGGTGTATCTCGCGCCTTAATTCACCCGGTCATCCCAAAGCAGCGGGTTTGGTTGAAAGATGCAACCAAACCCTCAAGACGATGATATTTAAACTTGCTCAACAAAATCCAAGAGATTGACATAAATTGTTACCATTTATTTTATGGAGCTTGAGAGAAGTACCCTCTTCAAATTGAAGATAGCAGAATCAATTTTCATCGATAAACGTAAACCAGCAATAAATATTCAACTAAATAATACCAATATTCTTCCAACAAAGAAACACATGATTAACTTTAATTCTAATTAAGTTGCAATCAAAGTCGCCGTAAAAACAAAGACACAAAGACGGAACAATACTATATAACTACACTGATGATGGCAGTTGATGCCGAAAAGAGCTTTTCTGTAGTAATAACGTTATTAATAATGTTTTGTCAAAAATGTAAAATATTAAAAGTTTTTTATTTAACCTTAATAAAACTTCATCAAGATGATAAAAGTCTCGCTAGAAAAATTGAGAAACTCAACTATAAGTTGAATAATGCCGAAAACGCAGTGATCTTTATAAATAATTGTGTGTGTATATATATATATATATATATATATATATATATATATATATGCAGTAATTTATGAAATCTACAGAATTTCTAGCGTTGGATTGTTTTTTATAACATTTCTCAATATTTCGAACTAACTTCATGTCGTCATTATTCATTTATCGATTGGACAAAAAAGAAGATAATAAAATTAACAAAGCGGCACAACACACAATATATATCATATCACCACGGTTTTCTCTGTACATCAGCGTGTGAAGTTTTAAATATCTTAACCTATTCTTTGTATTTTAATGAGGAACAATTCCTGACCAATTTGGTATCCCTTTTCTGTAGGGTAGAGTGGGGCAAGAAGCCACAGTTAAGTCTTTGATGAGTAACTACATCTAAAAAATGGAATATTTCTACAACATTAGTGATTATTTTACTAGATTGATATGTCCTTTATCTAATTTTACAAATTAAATTTTCAAACATAGGTTTCCTATGTTTCATAACACAAACCGTAGACCTCTATAAAATGGGCTTTTTGCCCCTATTAAAATAAGCCTTAAAATAGTTTCAAATCCGAAAATGTAAAAAAATTTTAACAGTTTTATTGTACATAAAATAAAAATTTATTCATGTTCATGCATCCTACTCTTTCTACATTTGAATTCAAGTTTTATTGCCTGTTTCCTATTGTCGTTTGTTATAGTTTACAGGTTTATACATGTTTAAATACTTTATTATTTTTTTGATATTTACGCTACACACTAGTTGAGGGCTACACTCTTTTGTGTCCTTTTCATATTTTTATTCATAACTATAAACATTGATGAACTGAAAAAAAGTTCACGGGGTATTAATTACATTTAGCTACAATTATTTGAATTTTTGTAGGTTAGTAATCATTTGGCCACCCTTAAGTCGTTGTTAGTTAATAAATTAATTTGCTATCTGAATTCCACATAAAATTTTTTTGCAAATAATACGTTTTATTTTGAAAAAAATGTTAAAATGTGGGAAGTCAATTAAGGTTTGACTAACAAAAATTCAAAAATAAAACGGTTTAAATTTATAGGTGCCCATATCAACAACGGATGCGCTTATGCAAATTTAAAACTTATTCATAAATTTTTTTGTATATCACAAGTAATTAATCAGTTTACAAAGTTTCCACTAGCGTTCTGAAGTCTAGCATGCTTAATTAAGTAGAAATAAAATTAGATTAATTTTTTTCACTTTTATCTAATCGACTCTTAGACTGTGCGCTAATTGATATTCATTGTTTACTAATTTATTAATATAAGTTGTTAATAAACATAACATTTTCCTCAATTGCAACTGAGCTCTTCAATTTCTATATAAATGAGCTAACGATTTTCAAGCTGTTAAAATTATTGCACGCTTTACATATAACGCTTTTTTGGTAGCGTTTACTATCATAGGTACTTAGACCCCTTAAATTAAAACATTACGGGTTCATGACAAATCATAACAAAACTCGAGTTCATGGCTTTAAAACAACTGAAATATAAACTTTGATGTCATAATCTATCGGTTTTGTGATGAAACGGTACAAGATAACACAAAACAAGATAAAACAGAAAATGGTAAAACAAAACAGTGATAAAAAAAGCTTTATCGCTTACTATTAAAAATAAATAAATAAAAGTGCTGTAAAATAAATAAATTCAAAAATAAATGTTCTGTTTCATTGCCACTCAGTTCTATCTTTGTTCTATTTTGTCTCTGTTCTTTTCATGTCCATGTGTTATCAACAAAATGCCCCAGTTAAGTATCCACGTGTTCATTATCTTTTGAGATAATCTGTCATTACCGTTGACCTCGTTTTATTATTCGAGTCATTCTTGTAACTGATTTCGATGGAAAGTAACTTTAGTGTTATTTGTTGGAAGCTGTTGCGCAAAATGAACCCAAGTTTCGCGATTAACCAAAGTTTGAAATACCGAGCATGAGCGCCATCAGTCCTTAATTTAAGGTGTTTAAGATATTGTCAAACATGGTTCTCATGTAATGTGCTGAAATTGTAAACAGATAGATTTTTAACAAAAATGTTTTAATATCTTTTTCTATGATATTTTCCATCTGAAATATTTTATAGCTCTTAAATTTAAAAAATAGGTGAAACAATTATGGGGATAAAGAAAAATTAGTTTTTTTTATTGTATATAATTATATTTTGAAATATTTGGATAAAAAAATTTAATACACTAAAATTGAGTAGGTACTGCCTAAAGCCCGTATACAAAGTTATTTTCATTTGAGCCCTAAATTGTCCAACTTTTTTTTTCTTCATACTACTAATGAAAAATGGGAGTAATTCATTTGAAAAATTATAGCCCAAAATTTGTAAAACAGAGAAGCACCCTGGAAACCGAAAGTTCAAGAATATAGGTACGTGAAAACCAAACAGTTTAACTGGGACTATATGATGGACTGGAATTTTTTTGCATTTGAATCAGATCAATGCAAAACATTTTCCGGCATCTTTGACGATATTACGTCATCACGTCAACCTAAAATTGTGAAACAATTCATGGTTTTTTGGAAAAAAATCAAAGACAACAAAAAAAAAGAGAAATGTAAAATTTACATTACGAGCAATTAATATATGAAAACCTTTAATTTAAGCAGTTACATAATAAGAATTTACATATCTTTTATAATAAAATTTGTGAAATTAACTATTTTAGGTAACCTATGAAATAAAACAAATTGGAGAGGACTACAAAAAGTTTACAATCAATTCAACCACTGGGACTATTAGAACTTCTGCCATGTTTGATCGAGAAATCAAAAAAGAGTATTACATCACAGTTGTGGCTCAAGATGGCGCACCATCCAGTCGAAGTAATCATCAGCCGCCTGGTACACCAAATCAAGGTGAGTATTTAAACAATTTTAAATAAAAAAATAAACATGGTGTTTAAGTTTATGAGTTTGATGATTAACAGGTGAAGCTGAACTTCAAATAAAAATAACAGATGTTAATGACAATTGTCCATTCTTTATCCATAGTCAATATGATGCACGTGTGTCTGAAAATGTTGATATTGGAACGGTTGTCATTGTGGTAACAGCTGAGGATAAAGATGAAGGTTAAGATAAGCGCTAGTTGTATGGCTGGAGGTTGGCAGGGTTGTTAATTTCTAAATCTCACTCTCGCCGATATTGTATTAATAAAACTTTATCAGCTGTGATATCAGCAATACTTAAATGCAGATTAATTAAAAATACATTTTGTCAACTATTAAAGTTGATTTAATTAAAAAAAATAAATTATAATATGATATAGCTATCATATCACCAATACTTTTTAAGTAATAAAAAATTGAAAAATTGATATTTTATACCAATACATTAAAATGTTAATTAGATACCTTTTTATTAGTGGGTATTTTATTTTTCAAAGTTCAGTGCATTTCCGTAGTAAACGGTTAATTCGTGAATCAAAATTAACAATTCCGTTTTTTAAATTTTGTTTTGTCCCTTTTATTCTAAAAAGTATTTTGATTGATTTTAAAAACAAACGTTAAAAAGCTGTTTAATAGTTCAATTAAAAATACAGTTTGTAATTTTTTAAAGTTTGTTTAATTATAAAAAAACCTTTTATATAATATAGTTATTATTAAAAGAAAGAGAATGTTTTTAATAATTTGGGAAATGAATTTAAAAAAAATTATGTTTCGCAGCAAGGTTAAGTGAACAGGAAACAGAAAAAATCAGCAAGATTTTTGTTTTTTTCAAACATTTTTTCACAATTTTATTGACAATGTTTGCACAATCATAATTTGCGATAATGAATATTGTTCTAATCGTTCAATGCAGTAGATTGAAATTGACTTCAACAAACTTACAATTTTTGCTTAATTAACTTTATTTGATGGCAATAAATTTGTGAAAAACTTGACATAAAATATTATTTGTTTTTATTTATTCTAATAAAATAAGGGGTTTTGTCTTTTTTTGCTTCCTAGCCTCAGGTTATAGATATTCATTTCAACTTGTTTCAAATTCAATAGTTCAAACAATTAGGCTAATCTTTACGCAGTAATTTACTGTTATATATTAACTACTGAAAGCATTATTATGGATAAAATATCTGTTTCCTTTTCAGGTAGCACCGCTTAAAAAATAAAAGAGTATTGATATTAGTAATGCCGACAATACTTTTATCATAGAAATGATTATCACATTAAAAAACCGGTATTGTTATTAGCGACACAGTATTGTTAACAACCCTGGATATTGACAAATTACACTGAATTATTTTTGCATGGATGATTTTAAAAATTAGTATATAGTCTCTTGATAAAATTGTCACTACTATATCTAGTTTCTCGAAGATAATTGATTCACAAATATGCCTGCTTTATCCCATTTTCACTTGGCAATTATTCTTTCAACTGGCACTCAGTCATAAAAATTTCAAGTTCAAAAATTTACGTTGTTAATAAATTGATCACTCTTTAGAATATTCTAGTAAGAAAATTTGAAAAGACAAACTTTAAATTGGTCAATGCAAACAAATAGGTAGAATTCATACAATGTTGTATAAAATCAAATATATGGCCTCCTTCCAACACACACGCACGCACGTACGCACACACACGTATACATATATTTTAAAATATTCTATAAATTCTACCGAATGTTTGGCGTTAATATGTTTGTAGTTCGTTTTTTCTCACTAAAGTTTTTTGGAGAACGTAATATACGAACTTATTTGCCCCTTTGACGGCTGTGCACATCAACATGACTTGTATATCGGGATTACTACTACCTCACTGATTAGAAGGCTTACGATGCATAAACAAAGTGGTGCTATCAAATGTCATTTGGACTCAACACATGCAATCACTATAAGTCGTGAAATCCTCGACAGCAACATCAAAGTAATATACCAGAACACCAACTACATGCATCTTAAAATTGCAGAAGCAGTCCTAATTGACATCAATAAACCAAAAAAAAATATACAACAAAAAATGACAACCTCACTCCCAACTCGGCGCTAAATCAACAATGAAAACAAAGAAGTAATAAAAACTAGCAATGTAAATACTTGCAAAGAAGAATATGATGCTATTGATGAAGAAAAGGAAACCAACGAAGATGGACCAGCCAATAAAGAAATTTGACACCTAATTTCCATCTAAGTTCATTTTCACAAAGTAAATATTTCCCTATATAAATCAACTTGCACTGATGATGATTCATTCGGAATCGAAATATGGCCTTCAGAAAATAAGTTTATTTTGAATTTTAATAAACTAAACGTTCTCCAAAAAACTTTAGTGAGTAAAAAATCGAAAAAACGAACTACAAAGTAATGAACGCCAAACATTCGAGAGAATTTATAAAATATTGTAAAAATTATGGTCTTTTACCAACATATATACACACACACACACACACACACACACACTCACAAACACACACACACACACATATATATATATATATATTATATATATTATAGATATATATTATATATATATATAATATATATTATATATATATATAATATATATCAAAGACTAAACCCATATATATATATATATATATATATATTCTGACTTCAAATAAGGTTGTTTTGAAAGTTGCCTTGACATTTTAAAAATCTTTCATGAGTTGCTTCCTATTTTGTTAATCGGTAAAACTCCAGTAGCAAGTTGTGGAATGCTTATTGCTTGACGTCTTTGTTCAATAAGCAAAGATTTTGCATTTTTTAAGAATATATGGATGGCTGTTGATGGGCATTATTTTCCACATTATTATCAATGGTTTTTTTGTGATATTTGTATTATTATTATTATTTTGAAAAAAACATGGGCGAAGATAAAATGTCCCTATGCCCGCAACACAAAATTAACAATAAAATTTTAACGCATAAACAATCAATCAACCAATCTTCGTTTAGCGTCCAGAAACCCAAGTACTCCCGAAGTAGGACGTTGTTTTTTTTGCCATCAATTTTTTTGCGCCAAATTAGACGATCAGTTGTATCCATTTCATTAAAATTTAGAACCTTCATGTCTTGCTCAATTGTTTGCGACCAGGACTTTTTTGGACGGCCTTTTGGACGTGTGTCAGGTACTTCAACATCTGCAAGAGAAGTTATGGCACTGTTTCCACTTCGTTTGACATGACCAAACCACCGCAGACGGTGTTGCCAGCATTCGTCCTTTATATCATCTAAACCAGCACGACGCAAGATTTCGGTAGATTTGATGTGGTCCTCCAAACTAATTCGTTGCATCCATCGGAGCATTTTCATGTCGGTTCGTTAAAGTTGTTGTTCCAGTTTGGTTGTCATTGACCATGTTTCTGCACCATATAACAACACCGGACGTATCACAGATTTATAAAACTTGATCGTAGTGGTAGTGGGATGTCACGCTGCATCAATATAGAGGCAAGGAGATGCCATTTATTTCAGGCTGCACGTATGCGTGCTCGAAAGGCAGCTTTAGCTGTTCTAGTACAATCTAGAACATCCCCTAAATATTGAAACGATGTGACTTTCTCTACCTTAATGGATTCAAAAACATTGCTATTTCAAATTTGTTGTTGTGAATTGATGCAAGCAGGACAAACAAAATTGGACACTTTAGATAAAGTACCAATTATTTTTGAACAACGTATGTGACACCACTAGACACAATTATTTTTGAACAACGTATGTGACACCACTAGTTACACTGCTGACACTTGATTGAATTGTTCCTACACCAGCTTTACAAACTGAACAGGGCCATCATCTAGTAGCTGTGGATTGGATGGGTTCACCAGTGATCATTGCTTTGGTTTTGCTGATGTTTACTTTGAATCCATGATCGGCGAGTCTGGTGTTCCAATTTTCAAACATCTGTGCTGCATTCTGCTCAGAAGTGGCTATTAAAACGATATACTCAGCATATATTAGATTCCAAATGTCACCAGTGCGTATCGGGCTTGTGATTTCTTCCATCACAGTTATAAATAACAGTGGACTGAGAATCGAGCTTTGGTGATCTCCAACGCCGGTATCAAATGCATCTGTGTTACCAACCGTTGTGCTGACGAGAGTCTTAGTATTCGTATACATTTCCATCACATGTCGAAGATATTCTGGAATTGAATTGTCGACGTAGACTCCACCTGATTGCTTCACGGGGAACTCGATCAAATGCTTTTTCAAGGTCTACAAAAATGTGCGATAGTTGTTGATGCTTTGCGATGTATTCCTCTTGCAGTTGACAAAGGATGTGAATTGCATCAATTGTTGATTTCCCCGCTAGGAAACTAAATTGATAATTTCCGATTGTGATGCACGACATTAATCTTCTCTCAACGAGTTTCTCGACAATTTTCAGGGAGTGTTCTAACAGACGTATACCCCGATATGATGAACAGTTCAATGGATCGCCTTTGCCTTTGTATAGCGGGACTGTAATGCTATAGTTCCATTCAGTCGGCATTGAGCAATTTCTCCAGATTTCACGGCAAAGTTGCAGTAATCTTTGGATAACTGCAGTACCAGATGCTTTGATAATGTCATTTGTGAGTCCAGAGGGCCCTGCTGCTTTTCCATCCTTCATAGTTTTCAGAGCTTCTGTAAGCTCCTCTACAGTGATGTCTGGAATCGGACCTTCGATGGTTGGAGCGTCAAAGTTGACATTGATGAGATTTGTTTAATTTAGCAGAGGGTTGAAGTATTCTCTCTACTGTAGCTTGATCTCATCTTGTTCAAAAACCATCTCATTTTTGTCGTTTTTGATACATGAGGCACCAACTATATCTTTTTTCGTACGCTTTGCTTGTTTTGCTATACAATACAAAGATTTCATTTGTTCACTTTTGCTTTTAGTGAGCCACTCTCTGCA